ATTAGTACCAGTAGTGGTCACCATTCTGGTGCACCAGCATTGTGGAAGAGACTGTAGTAATGTACATAGTTGAGGATAGAAGCAGTGTCTGGACAATACATAGTTTAAACAATACACAGATTTGTTTTTATATAGCACAGCCCAGGGTCATAAGAGGGACTTTTCCACGGAATGAAGTAAAGCATACTGTATGTTCTGTCACAGTCCTACTACAACCATTCAATAAAGATTATTTTCTTCCCTTGTTGAGTCTTGAACCTTTATCCTAAGAGGCCTGAACTCGGCAAATAAATTTTTAAAATAATTATTACATTCTCTACAGATTTAGACAAAATTTGTGTACTGTATATTTAATATTTCTCCTACAATTTCTAATCCATTTTAGCAACGTCTTTTCATGCAACAAGAAAATAAATGCAGTTTAAATTATTTGTTGATTTTTAAATTGTGAGAATTTCTCTATTCAAATCCCTAGTTAGGCCATCACAAACTGAAGACCTGGAAGTGGTAACGGATGGTTGATCTTTTCTCTTTTTTAACAGTTCAGAAGTTTCCATTCATTACCTGCTTAGCCTATCCAGTGATCTAGCAGAATTAATGAGCCGTGATAATGATGAAGACAGCCTTGCAAGGCAGTGATTTTGAGTTTTGCCAAACTCATGAAAAAAAATTAGTAGCTGAAGCATTTGTAATAGGAGGAATTAAAATGTTTTAATGAAATATATACTGTGATTCTTAAACCATTTAATAAAGATTAGGTAAACTGGAATCTTTCCCAGGTGCATGAATATCAGACTTGACATATGAATCAGAGCCTTGAAAAGTTATTTCTGGGACTACTATTCCTATACTTGCCAACACATTATAGCATTTGTAACTTGACATATGAATCAGAGCCTTGAAAAGCCTTGAAAAGTTATTTCTGCGACTACTATTCCTATACTTGCCAAAACATTATAGCATTTGTAATCTGTAAAGTTAGTCTTCTAAGCCTTGAGCCTAATTCAGTATGGTCTGAGTCTTGGGAAGGGGATAGGCACTCATACCTGTCAGCTGCTAAATATTCTTTGCCCTAAAATTTGGTCCTTGTGTATACTGTATATTCTGCTACTACATTATCCCCCCCTCCACTTGCATCTTGGACACCAAGATAGAAATTAGTTCTATTTAAATAAATGAAACATGCAGTGAGATCTTATGCATGTTTGTGTGTTATGTATTGTCAAGGTGCTTCCAACTTATGAAGGCCGTGATTTTTTTCAAAGTATATGAGGTGTTCAAGGAGTGGTTATTATTGCCACCCAGTGAGTTCCCATAGTCAAGGTGGGATTTGAAGTTCTAGTCTGGTGATTCCCAACTTTGGGGCCTCAGATGTTCTTCAACTATAACTTCCAGAAATCCTGGCTAATGGTGAAGTCTTCTGAAAGTTTTAGTCCAACAACAAACTTCCAGAAATCCTGGCTAATGGTGAAGCCTTCTGAAAGTTTTAGTCCAACAACGCCTGTGGATGCAAGGTTGGGAACCACTGTACTAGTTCGGCCCTCTATCCCCTACCACTCCACACTGGCTCTCTATAGATATTTACCAGAAGCTTTGTGAATGCAATGGGACTTATTTCTGTGCCAAGAACTGTGTTTAGGGTTGCAGTCTACTGTACAATTTATTGTTGGAAACCACACTGATCTCACTTCTAAGCCTTGCTTGGAAGTATTTTTTGAAGGAGCAGGTGTGCACAATTAGAAATAAAATTCTGGGCAATACAGCCCTTGGCCTGATCCAGCCAACCTATTGTTGCCTTACAGTGGCAGCCCCAAGAAATACCAGATACCCCACATTTTCTTTATTGCAAGTGGTTTGTAGATCTCACCTGCAGCACTTCTGTTGAATCAGCCTATCTGCTTCCCTGCATGGCACTGCCAGTTCTTCCTGCAGTGGCTGCCTGCTTCTGCTTGGAGAACAGTGGTGCTGGACCTTCTTTTAGAAGTTGGGGACACTGTTTCAGAAATGAGTCTGAGTCTAGACAGAAAACATTAATCCCATTCCTATATAGAAATAAGAGTCTAGATCAGGACACAGAACTAGAGCTATATCTTTTCAGCATATTGTATTAATAATGATATATGTGCCACCCTGAGCATATGATGTGCCCCTGTCATTGCAACACAAGCTTCCAGTACGTTTGTCTGTTTCAGAAAAATTCAAGTCCCTGAACCATTAATTGTGCCTAAGAAGACAGAGAATCCTTACGATATTATTTTGCTTTTGCCCAGGCCTGGGTCATCTGTATTTACACATAAATAGGGAGAAACAATCAACATTACAGAAAAAACATTCAAGGACAAACAGGAGGACATCTGCACAATGGATAAGACTCCCCTGTCTTTGAGAATAACAACTGATACCTCTTTCTTTAGTTCTCAACTGGACACAATTTTTAAATGTATTTATTTGCTTACAGGAGAGCCTACTTTAACCAGCAATACTCTAGTAACCCCCAAATTTCAATTTTTATGACATAAAGAGCCTTCAGTACTTCGAGCTATTCCATAAATTGGAATACTCTTTCTGGATTTAGTTATTCAGCTTGCAATGCTGTGTTCACTTACCTGGTAGTTAATGGGGCTTACCTCTGTGTAAGCATGCATCAGATTTGGCTATTCAGGCTACAGATCAATGTGCAGTGAACCCACTTAACTGTGAATAAATCCGATGGAATTCAGTGGGACTTCTTTTTCAGAGCCATAATCCTGTGCCATCAAGTCAGCTCTAACTTATGGCTAAGCTTTTTTCAGGGGTTTCCAGGTAGAGAATACTCAGAAGTAGTTTACCATTCCTTTCTTTTCAGGGGCACCCTGGGACTGTGCAGCTTGCCCAGGGCCATATAGGCTGGCTCTTACCTCCAGGCGCCATAGTGGGAAATCTAACTCCCAACCTCTGGCTCTGTAGCCAGAGACCTAAACTACTAAGCTATCCAACTAGCTAATTTTTTTAGAAAGCATGCATAAAATTGTGCAATTAAGCATTCGTGCTGGGTGTGAGTTTCTCATTTAAAGTTTACTTTTTGGAGACTAGGAGGATCTAAGTTCCATAAGTGACTATTGTTATACAGTACCACAATGTCACATGGCAGGTGGGGTCAGTTGGATATAGCACATCATACAAGTGAGAGGGCATAGGGATTTAGCCAAAGTTAATTTTTAGTGATAGTTATGAAAACCTTACATCCCAGACTCCCATATAGAATAATATGGTGTCCCACCAGTGGCATGTGTACTGTACAAGGGTTTGAGAACCACAATCCAAAGGACACATCAGTTTGTGGCATTGAGCCAGAAAGCTTTTCATTTCTGTCTAGGCTCTACCACAAGGCAGAGCAAGGCAGCTGCCTCAGATGGCACATGCTAGGAGTAAAAATAAGTGGTAGGTGGAAGGAGAGCTGTGTGCCATACTAGACTGTCTCTCTGTCACCAACCTGGGCTGTTTAATTTTCACCAAAGCTGGAGTAAGATTAAATTGCTATTGCAGTTGGTTTCTAAAGGGGAAAGGAGGGCACCATCTTGTTGTCTCAAGCAAAATATCTTGTGTTGACCTTCCTGCTTTAGCATTACGTTTCCATTGCAGATGTTTTCTGTGAACCTACAAGTAATTCAATAGAATATTACTCCCATTATGTGAAAACAGAATTCAATTTTGCTGTCATGATATAAAACTTTTCCACAAGTAAAGGGCTTGGGATATGAAAAGCCAAAAGGATGAACGGTAAGAGTGCCTGGGTGGAAATGTCCTCATGTTGTCATCCCCCAAAGAAGAACATGAGGAATTACTTTTCCAAGTATTGTGAGGAGCCTTCATGATTATGAACTAAAACTGTCCCTCAATGATAGATGTTTCAAACATCCATGAAATGTCTAAGTCGCATAACACCTTTGGCTAGAATAGAGCCAGATAAAGAAAAATCTGATGCGGTTGCTATTTGGTCAGGCCTTCCATTCTCAGGTAACTTCAGAGGTCCTTTGTATTTGTTAGCTACTGTAGATTTGTGCTAATGTCCTGTTACAGCCACAAAATCACAACTAGCAAGCTACCAGAAGTGTAATCAAAGTTCCGGAAACCAAATCTCAGGAATTATATCAGTTGCCATGACTCAACTTCCACAAAGTTAGTCCTAGAGAGGATATTGTTAAGGTCCTAAAAGAAGATACAGGCTATACCTTCAGGGGTTTGTCCTTCTATGGACACTTTTGCGCACATGCAGGGCATCCAGTAGATAAATCACGGCGATAAGGGCATGGTTCTTGCACCAAGGGAATAAAAGCTCTGTTCTCATCAATCTCTCCCTTTCTAAACGGCCGTTTTACAACCTACTCCCTTCCTCAGGAATCCCCTCTCGTCGAGCGGAACCCAAATAACTTAGGAATTAACACGGGCAGAAAAACCTGCGGTCCCAATTCAGTTGTGTCACCCAGCTCCCTTTCAGAGTTACAGTACTGTACTTGCAAGTAACGGATAACTGAACAAGCAACGTTTTCGAGCGTGGTGACAATTCAATGACAGCGGGAACTTCACTTGAATTGTTTGCATTGCAAAAGCGGGACTGTTTGCATTGCAGTCCCGTTTAGCCTCAGGGTAGTCCTGCCACACCCAAGTATGGGAGGAAAGGAAAGGAACGCTAGCCCGACGATTTTTGTTTTATTTTATTTTACGCCCGAATAAAGATCAGCGTGCTCCTTTTCCACGGACCGACGACTCTTGCTGGGGAAGGAGAAGAGGATCTTTTTTTGGGGAAAGGAACGCCTCAGGATGTGAGCACCGAACCGCCCGCGGGGCTCCTCTGAAGGCAGGGAGGCCGTTTGTGCGCCAACGCCGGCCTTCCAGAAGCCCGCCCCGGCTCCGGCCTTAGCAACGGCGCGGCGGCGAGCGGGGTCGCGGCAGGACAAGTTCCGAGCCTGGCAGGGGAGCCTCATGAACACGGGGCCGGGCTGAGGCGGGCGGGTTGGCCAGCGAGGGAGTGTGGGGGGGGGGAGCGGAGAGGGGGGGCGAATTGGGAGCGCTGTTTTCCGCCGCGGCCGCTGACAGGGCCCGCCGAGAGGCTCCTCCTCCTCCTCCTCCTCTCGTCGTCGTCGTCGTCCTGTTCCACCCGCTTCCCCGAAGTCAGCATGGCGGTCAAGGTGACTCTCCCTCCTTCTGTTCTCCTTCCGTTATTTTAACCCAGGAGCCCGCTTGGGGCGGGCGGCGCTAAACTGCCATTTGGAGGGCGGGGGGAGAGATGCGGCTGTGCCCCCCTCCCGGCCGCTGTCGTATGGGGTGGGGTGGAAAGGCTTTGACCTCCCCCCGGCTCGGAGGGGCAGGAGGTGGACCTGTGGGTGTCCTGACGGCCCAAGTGGCCTCAGGGGCGCCCCGCGCGAGGAGGAGGAAGGACTCCGGGCTAGAAGGCGAAAGGGGGGAAGCCGGCAGAGGCGAGAGCGGCCGGTGGTGGTGGGGGTGTCCCCCCCGGTGGAGGGTGGGCTTCCGCAAGATCCCTTGGCCGGGATGAGAGGCTCCCCCCTTAGCCCCCCGCTGTTCTGCTCTCCTCCGAGTAGATCCTCCCACCTCCTCCGGACCGTGCAAGGGAAATGTGGGTTGTAATCTGCTCTAGTAACTACTGTATATATAAATATATCGATGGCACGCCAGTGGTTCTCGGTTGACTTAAGGTGAAGCACCTGGTTAGCAGGGAATGAGGGAAAATTTAAGACTCCAGCGCAGCCCAAACCCAGCAGGCAGTGGTGGGAGAAAGAAGGTATGCCGCTGATGCCTCTTAACCGGGGAGCCTTCCCAAGTGAAACAAGCCCTTCATCCTTCCAGTCTCTTGTCTCATACATATTTGGGAGTGGATCCCTTGGGATCCCTCGATCCCATACTCATGCTCTTCCAGTTGCTGGCACAGTGGCAGGAAGGTTCTAGTTCCTGGTGTGTCTGGACAGGTCAGGCGTTGTAATCCTGGAACGGTGCCGGGGTGGTGATTAATCTGGAAAATTGGACGACAGCAGAAATGCCTGTCTGGCCGTGGGAAAGCCTCAAGATACAACTTTTGTCCCCATTAAGCAGCTTAGTTCCAGGTGCAGAAGGAAAATGGTGGGTCAGATCCTTGGAGGTGGCTTGTTGTGTGTCCTTTGAGTAGTAATAATTATTATGATGATTGTTTCAATAATAATAATAACTTTTGAACTGCAGAGTTGGAAGGGACCCTATGAACCGTTGAGGCCAGACCCTCTCAAGGAGGCACGGTGGGGGAATCAAACTCCTAACCGCTGGCTCCACAGCCAAAGACCTTGTTGGGAACTGAATGGTTTGCCCCTGCCCCTGTAATAGCCTGTTGTCTTTCAGTTTAGGGGACGTGGGATGAGAATGTTATATGTCAATTTAACATAAGGAGGGAAAGGTCAAAATGGAGTCCATTTTGCTTGGAGGAGTCTGGCCAGGCCGGCTGGGACATTCTAGGAGGTGTAATCCAAAGAAGTAACCTTTTCAAGTTCTGATTAAGTCTTGCCATGTAAGCAGTTTTAAAGAAAAGGGATACATGTGGAGAAGTACTTTTTATACAAAGATCCATTTTGCACACACCCCTTATCAGTGATACATCTTATGTGAGATTTCATACGTATGGGATAACATCACTCACATATCAATGAGTGTGTCTGATATTAATGTTAAGAGATATTCTCATGCAAGGTTTGCTAGAGGTTAGTGCAGCTGCCAGTCTTTAGATGAGATGCCCTTTTCTTCATTTGTAGGACAGCGTTGGTTTCCTCCAGGAGGAAAATTACACCATGTCCAAAGCAACACATGATATTCCTTTGAACATGATAGATTGCAGCAGCTACCTGATCTTATTATGGAAGCATGGGAGTAGTTTATTTGCAGTTACCCTCTTGTACTTGTACATGCTCTGTAGCCAACATGCATCTCTCTCTCTCTCTCTCTCTCGCTCTCTCTCTCTCTCTCTCACACACACACACACACAAAATTTCAACTGCTTTTTTCTTCTGTACATTTGCATTCAGTGTATGACTTTAGTCTTCCCCCCAATAATTTAGACTGACTTTTTGCTTTTTGGGCTAAGAACTGAGCTGTCTTCTGGTCAGAAGTTTCTTGTTTTTGACACTTGGCTTTATTATATCCCTCTTTCCTGGCAAATCATTCCTCATGTTCATAGTTATCAAAAGCATCTCAGTTGTTTTAAAGTTAAGCAATAAAAGGATGGTGTCTGGATGTTTGGAACTCACTTTATCATTTAGATAAGACAGTTGATTTATATTACTCTTATCAGCAGAGATTGCAGTACTAGCCTTCCGTATCTGGTAGTTGAATAACTTGGTGAGTGAAGCATTAACTTTCTCCTCTTGGCTTTGCAGGTTCAAACAATCAAAAGAGCAGATCCAAATGAACTACGCAATATATTTTTGCAGGTAAGTAATTGTGTTGAATGTCTTCTGAAGCAGTGTTAATTTATTCCACCAAAAATAAAGTCTGGAAGAACCTTAAAAATTAACACATTATTATAATTTTCAGGGCTTCTTGCATTAGTCATTTACAGCAAAAACAACAAAGAACTTTGAGACATATTAAAGAATCACACTTTTTATTTGGCATAGGATTTTGTAGACTGCAGCATCATTGCATCTGATAAAGTTGGCTGCAGTCCTCCAAAGCTTATGCCAGATAAAACTTACTAGTCATTAAGGTGCCACAAGACCCTGTCTTTTTATATTTATTGTAAGCTTTCATGGGGCAGAATTTCTTGCAGCAGGTACAGGGAGTAAGAGATTATGTTTGATCCTTGTCATTTCCTGGCATGTGATACTTACATTTCTACAAAAGCTCATACAGAAAGCCTTTCAGTATGTATTGGGCTCAGTTTAATACTGGTTGTGCAAACTAGACCCTAGATTGGGGTTAGGATTTCTCGGGAGCAACTAAAAGGGACATGTGTTGATCTTCCGGGTCTAGAAAGTATGGTAATGGAATGATCAACAGCACATTTGTAGCAATAAGATGTTACAGCAAGAAACAGCATTCCACAAGCTATGTGGGTAAAAATAAATTTTTATTAATTCTGACTGAATCACCGCGCTAACATAGGACAATAATTTCTGCTATATTGTAAAGCTAGTATTGTCTTCTGAATCTCCCTGACTTTAGTTTGAATCTCAAGCTTGGTATAAGTTATCTGCGATGCTTTTCTGCACTGTCCTCTTTATTTTTCCTTCTGTATCTCAACCACATTTACTGCATTTCTGTTTGTCATTCTGTGTACTCAATATATATCATGTGTGGACTCACCTATAACATTTCAACTTTTTTTTCTTTTTGCTTCAGTTCCTTCTATGGTATTCGTTTCTGTACTTCAGTAAACATTTTCTTGATGTTTCAGCCTTGCAGCCATCCATTCACACATCAGCTGCTCAAATTTTAGATGTAATAGCATTACTGGCTGGTCTCAGCAGACGAGAAGACAAGACAGCAGTTCCAACCTATACACAACTATGTATCTGGCATGTGTCAGCCCCCCCCTCCTGACCTGGGTCGACAGGTGGCCCCACCTCCCTTCCGATTCATGGACTCAACACTAGGTGGTTTAAACAAAGAAGGGTTTATTAAAACGTGGACACCTTGTTCAGCAGACGGATTTACTGTAGGACTAGTTGTCTTCACTGGCTTAGCCTTGTTTTGCTTTGCTTGGACATATGACAAATGATGCTGAAGATGGAGACCCAGCAAAACAAGGGCCAATACGCCCACTGTGAGAGCAGGGAAGGAATTGCACAAAAGTCTAGACCTGGACGGCTGCTGTTGTTCCTGGTGTCATTGCTGGTGCTCCTTTTGTTGCCTTTTCCTCCAGCGTTGGAGCTGCATTGGAGTCACTTCCCCAACCTCCTGGGGTTGTGTCTACCTATGTAACCCTCCCCCCCCCATAGCTAGGATGTTGAGACAATAATGGGTGTTGGTGCTTTTTGCTATGTTCCTTTGGCACCTGCAACTGAACTAAAACCTCAACCCAGTGATCTTCTTTTAGAGTGTAGTTCCATTCATCCTCTAGCTCAAGGTCTTCCTCCACGTCCTCTTCCTCATTGTAGACTTCTATGTCTTCCAGGGTCTCCCTCCCCCTCCTCTGCCCCCCTTTCAGTCTGAGGGATCCTCCTTCAGACTCTCCTTCTCCCTTTCTGACTTCTCCTCCACCTTCTCCAGGGTTTCTTTCATGTCAGCCACATCTAGGCTGGTCTCCTTCTCCTCTAGGGGGGTACCTTTTTATTTTTCCCACCTATTCCAGCTTATTGTTCCTCCTTGCCTTCTTTTGGCAGCCCTTCAGTTTGTGTCTGCATGTCCCTGCCCTGCTTTCCCCAGCCTCTATTTCTGGTGGGGTTTCCTGCCACACTTCTTTCCCAGGAACTGGGTGGGGGGCTAGGTGGCCTGCTAGAGGCACCCATGCCAGTGACCCACTGACAGTATGTTTAGATAAGTTTGTGGACTTGCTTTTGAATATAATATAACTAGTACAAAATACAGCAGCCAGCATGCTTTCTAGTAAATATAATATAAACCATGTAACACTGGTCTTATACCCAATTTACAATAGTTCTCAGTTTGTTTCTCAGCCCAGTTATAGTACTCTTTCATATCCATAAATCCAAAGCAGCTGGCAGGTCAAAACAGATTTTAAAAATCACCATCCTCAGAGAAACCTGCCTTTCCTTTGTGCTCAGCTCTAGGGGTGTAGCTATGTGGCTTTCGTACTTTGAGAGAAGTAAGGTTGGTAAGAACCCAAACCAAGGCTTTTTCTGAGTTGCAGTCATGGGACTTTGTTTCCAAAAGCATTGGAATCTATTTAATGCATTCAAATGGGGGAAAAATCATCCATAGAAAACATCATCTTGCAAAACATAGTTCCCCATAGGAATGCATTGAAATCTACCATATGGGGAAAAGCAGTCCCCCCACCTGCACTGCCTTTGGAAATGCAATGGGTCTCAGATAGCATTCCCCCTCTTTCTTTCTAGCAGCCAAGAAAGAGAGTAAAAAGAGTCAAAGCAGCCCCCTAGCTCCTAATAATGGTGACGCCCATTGCCTTGATCCTTTATCACTGGAAAAAAATGCAATATAAGACATCACCAGCACTTGTTGCCTTTGTAATAGGTCCTAATGAGAAAAAAAAAGATGAAAAGGGTTCTAGAAAAACCAAGGAAATCACAAATGCAATCCTTTATTGCCATGCAGCTGAGTTTCCCACATTTGGGGAAATCATAGGGAGCAGCATACTTAAAATACAACAGATAAGCCTAACCCTAGAAAAACCACTTTTATAACATGGCATTTCCCCTGCAAGGTATGAGTTGGAATGGCCCTTTCACCTCATACCCCCTTCTGTCCCCTGATCCCCCCAAGGCATGGTGACCCCTTGGCTGCACCTCCCACTCAGTACAGGGCTGCACAGTCCCAATCCTGTCAGAGGCCAAGAGAGCTCCTAAGTGTTTTGGGGTGCCCTGTGGGACCCCCATCAGGGGCTAGGTGTTCCTCCCACAATCCTCTAGTGCACAGGTATTAGCATAAGGTATTAGCATATGCTAATACCTCTGCACTAGAGGATTGCGGGAGGAACACCCATCGTCTTGTGGAGGCACCACTGTATGTTTCTTTTAATACCAGTCTGGTTTTCTGTGTTTGAAGGTTGAGAGTATACATAGCCTGCCTGCTGAAACCAAGTAGCGTATTTTAACATAGGCTGGACATTGCTCTCTGTAACGTTTGTGTGTATTGAATTGTCCATAACTTCATGGGATGCACTGATGTGAATTTTCTGACCATGTTGTGGTTTGTAACTTCTTTCAACATGGGCAACATTGTGCCCGCATCTAAAACATTTTGCACTGAAATATTCTGGGTATTGCAGCAGTTCTCATGGTTCACTTCCCTTGTACTCTTTGGATTAAGCAGTGCCTAAAGGGTGTGCGTTCTTGCCTAAATTTGGCTGCCCTTGAAAAAGGAGACAAGTGAAGGTGAAGCTCATTAAAGCAAAGGAGTGTTCTGGTGCTCATGTTTTTTGTGCAAAGCATGACATTTGTGTCCTTTCCCTTGTTCTCATAATGTATTTTACCAGCTGTTACTCTTTGTACTTAATATGGAATGAACACCATTCTGTCCTCTAGGAAAAAACAATTGGTTGGGGGGCTCAGGAGAAACAGCTGGGGGGCTGGGACTTTTGCTTTTCCTGCTGTCTTTCTTCTGAGACATCTGAGTCATCCTGTTTGATGGTCAGTTAAGTTAGCTCTGAAGTTTGGTACGCAACAACCAAAGAGCTTCCCACTTGATGCTTGTAAGATTTGTGATTCCATTGCAACACACGGTTGCATTTTGGAATGAGTCTCCCCCTTTTCCCACAGCTATCAAATTTGCTAGTTTTATAGCTAGACCATTTAGGTTAGTTGTCTACATTCACATCCATGTGGGAACCTTAATTCACTTATGTAGTGCATATTTCTGCCAGTTATCTCAGTAACTTCCACTCACTTCAGTAAAAACCGCACCATAGAGGAATGGCTACTTTAAAGAGAACTCTGGATCAAAGATATTAAAAGTTCTGAAATACAGCATAATTTTAGGGAGAGGACATGGAGGGATGTGTGTGTAAAATATTGAAAGCTGACTTTTTGAAATCATGAAGAACAGGAAAAAAGTACAAATTAACAGATTTGAAATGGTCGCAGTTGGTCTTCTTATTTAGTCAGCATTCCTATGTTGATTTTAATAAGCCCCCCTGAGTTATTTTAGTTAGAATCTAGTCTCACTGATACATTTCAGAAAAGTAGCTTATCCTGTTTGTAGAAGGAACACATGCTTCAAAAAAGTGTATTCTACTACTGGAAGGCAGCTCCTCAAATGCCTCTCTTCAGGACCATAGTAGTGTGCTTCTGGTTGACTGGAGTGATGGTTACAACAGAATTAATCCAGCAGGTATGCATGTTGACTGTCCCTTGTTGACATGGCAGTCATTGTGTGTACTTGAAGTGAAATGGTTCAAGATCTTTTTAAAAAATCAACTTTATGCTGGGGGTTGGCTAGCACAGTATTTATATTTTTGAAGCTGCAAATCTGAATAATTTAAGTACCTTCCTACTTCAACTTTCCAGATAGGCCACCATGATTAAAGACTCAATTGACTGGTACCATGAACAGAGCCATTTTTGTACAACTTAATTGTTGTGGGACTCTCTTTCTGGGTCGATCCAATAAGCTACTCCTTTCTTTCCTTTCTGATGGACTCTGAAAACATTTTTCTTACAGAAGCATTTTAATGGCTTAAAGTACTGTTTAAAGTTGATGTTTTGGAATGTATGCTCGTGAGCTTTTCGTTAGATTTGTTATTGTCTGACTTGTGAGTTGCTCTTGGGGAAGTTATTAAGAAAAGTGATAT